ATGTGTGCGTGTGTTGGGCGGGTGGGTGGGTACGTGTGTGTGCGCACGTGTGTGTCTATGTGTCGCTGTGAGCCTGTACGCATGCGTAATCACTCGAGTTTAAGTCAGTCTTCCAGTCCGTACGTCATTATCATTATCGGAACAGCCTCGAACTTTTTTCAATGAATGCTCTTTTTCCTACCAGACTTTGTCCTATCCCATTTTGTTTAGTTACGGTTAAAATAATTAGGAGGATAGGAGGGAAATTCGCTGATGGGCATCGTTCTAAGACATTAAAATATTACATTTCTCTGGGGGAGTGCGTGATCCAACACAGCCGAGGATTGGATTACCCCTCGGAGCCTTGTCGAGGCAGAGGATCAATAGGATCTGGCTCTCTCCGGCCTGACGGGAACTCTCTCACGCCGATGGAAGAAAGAGAAGTGTGGGTGGAGACACAGTGAACGCACTGAGATGGCTCCGTTTGGATAGTTCTATTTTGTTTGTTTTGTTGAGGGTTGCTTTGTTTTTGTTTATAGTTAGTTTCTTCATTGTTGTTGTTGTTGTCGTTTGTTTGTTTTTTGTTTTGTTTTTTTGCGGTTGTTATTTTAGTAAGGGGGGTGTAGTTTGTTTGGATGTTTGTTGTTCTTGTTGTTGTTGATGATGATGATAATGATGATGATGATGGGGTTTTTTTCTTTTTTGTTGTGCAGGTAGTTGGATGGTACTACTGATAAATTTTAGTTTTTTAGTTTCCATTTTTGTTATTTTCGGTCTAGTAGTAGTAGTATAGGGTTTTACGGCGCTCGCAACTGCGTAAGGTCATATGAGCGCGTGAAACACAAGTTGTTTACTTTCGCAAAAGTTCACTGCACGATTGGTTAACTATTTGACTTTAAAATGCTAAAATATTAAAATTCAGTGTAAATATATGTGCGATTTAAAACAACTCTTATAAAGTAGCAATAAAATTTTTAAATAGTACGATTGCACTTTACAATTTGCCAAAAAGGCTATTTTCGGTCTGTTGCTGTCTTACTTTTCCCCTGCACTAAACTAAGTTTGTCGACGTGTTTGTTTCTCCTTATTCAAATTATGATTGCTGTTCATGGCGTTATATTTGGTTTGTTTATTTGTTGGGTTTGGGGGGGTTTTTGCCGTTGTTAAATAAGGCGTTAAAATGCAAAAGCGAGAAACCGTGTTTGTTTTGTTAGGTTTTTGTTTGTTTGTTTGTTTGTTTGTTTGTTTGTTTGTTTGTTAAAGATACATCGTTCAATTCGTTGCTGCGCCAGCCTGTCGTAAACAACAGCTCCGCAGTTACTACACCGCTAAAAAATATGTAAAAAGGGTTACTAAACTCCTCTCTCTCTTTCTCTTTCTCTTTCTCTTTCTCTTTCTCTTTCTCTCTTTCTCTCTCTCTCTCTCTCTCTCTGTCTCTCTCTCTCTCTCTCTTTCCCCTCTCTCTTTCTCTCACACACACACACAAACACACATACACACACACACACACAAACTAACTAACACACACACACTCCCT